TCCCAACGTGAAAAGCGCTATATCAAATGCAAAGATTATTATTATTATCCTGTAATCTTGAAAGTATATCTCTCTTTGACCATGTCTTTGGTCAACATCCTTAAATCTTCCTTTTCCCTGCTTGGGACCAGCGCTTTGGGACGTCCTCCTGATGTGAAAGGCACTCTATTAAATGTAATTTTGTTGCTGTTGTTGTTACCAGTATATCCAATAAACACTTTAAGAGGTGAATGGGGCTTTACATGTGTAAGTGTAAGTTGTTGTTGTTGTATATTGATGTAGAAGCACAGATGCACTGTTATGATTCTTCAGTCCTCTGTTTTATTTTATAGTGTACGTATCATTGATTTTAGGTTTGTGAGTGCTGTGGTGTTTCAAGGACTTGTTATGTGCTTGGGACTGCTGGCTGGTAATCTTTACTTGGATTCTTTCACCTCTGGAGTCATGGAGCTACCGGCAGCATTCTCTTCTTCTCTGGCTGCCAGATTGAGTGGGACGCCGAATACCTTTGGCAATGTCGAACGCAGTCAATGGGAGTGGGTTGTCTCATAACCATCCTTATACCAGACAGTAAGCTGTTTCCAATTGCACGCTATCAACGCATTAAGATTGGAGCCACAGTGTTTTAGAACAGCATCATTTCCTCCTCAGGCCTCGAGTCTGATCTCAACCCACAGAGAAGCAATGGAGAAAACAAAACTCCTTTTCTCCACGCGTTGTTAGAGGTCCCATGAGGTTCCTGTAGGTTTAACTTCCCAATAATGTGGTGCCCATTTATGAAATTGTCCTCAAGGCTGACATTTGATAAATTACAGCTGATCTTCATAGATCTCATTTAGTGGTGCAGGGCTGTGCTCAGATTCCCATATTAGTATTAAACTGTAAAGTGAATTGACTGTATAATTTGTGGGCAAATTGCAACAACCAATTGCACACAGCAGTATCCCACAAACAGTCATGGATTGAGTAATCAAATTATTATTATTATGATTAATTTTGAAGGGATTATTATTATTACCCCCAGAAAAGCAATACGCCAATTGACTAACAACCGGGTTCCTACTTACTGCTAGGTAAACAGAGGCATGTGAAGTAAGGAAACTTGCCCAACAATTCAGCCTGCCTGGGAATCGAACCCAGGTCCTCTCATTTGCGAGGCGAGTGCTCTAACCACTGAGTTACAGGACCCCATGCAATTGGAAAAGAAAAGGGAGTTTCACCCAGTGTCTTAGCCAACGAATGGCCTGTCTCTGTGCTGTATATTCTCATGTATTCTAATGTATTATTAAAGTTAAGCATCTATGGCTGCAAGCACTTCTTAAATGTGACCTAACATCACATAAAAGATTACTGTATTTTAGGCTGATTCCATTAACATTTAATAATATTGTGGTTTACTATAGGTTTTTTTGCTTTGCTATGTGGTGCTTTGTTATTCCTTTTGCCAGAAACAAGAGGCGTCGATTTGCTGGAAACCATTGACGAGGTGAAAAACATGGGAAAAAAGGTACATTCGATTTGTTTTGAGAACATCACTTAAACTACAAGTGGTTGTTTCATCTGTTTTCTTTATACAGATTATATGAGCAAGACAATGGAAAGGAAATGATCGCACTTAAGTCTTCTCGATAGAGAAGTTTCTCTTGGAAGAAAATGTTGGTGTTGAGGTTTCATTTTCCATGTAGCTTAACCGTGTGGTTTAAATTAAAAAATTAATTCGGTACAAAATATAACTTAACCTCATATGTTACAGACCCTTTTTACAACACGCAGGATTATTTGCACAGGAACAGATTACTGGGAAATGTGGTACAGACTGTATTGATTATGAAACGGCTCAATGCTGTGATGCGAGGAAACTAGAGTTGGCATTCTGGAAAGATGAAATCAAATGAGCCAAAAGGGTCTTCTTTATTTGAATTATATTGTGTATAAAAACGTGTTTAAGCAGCTAAATTTGACTTGGCCACTTTACTGATGTGACTGGGTCAATCTACAATATCTTACATTTGAACAGTCCTAAAATAGGCCATTAGGTCTAGTTTTAATCAGAGACCAATATTTATGTCAGTTGTAGAATGGAGAGACAGACATTGGTCACAGAGGAATGATGGTACATTATTGCCCATTAAGAAAAAGTATCAAAGAGTGTAGAATATCAATCTGTCTAATACCATATAGAAGTAAAGTTAGAATAATGAATTGGAGAAGAAAATAAAATTGAGCAAAAGGAAAAATTGAGCCAACAGAAGTTACCGTATCACCACCAAAGTGATAACATTGCAGCTCACACATTAACCAGAGCAGATTAACTGGACACTTTGATGAGATAATTCTCACAGTCAATTACACTGCTTACAAAAAAAATATTTTCATTTATCTGCTGCCCATCTAAACTGATTTAAAAAATTGTGCTCTTTTTAAATTCAGTATTTCACAACTTCTTTGGATAACACTTTTTTACCCAAAGTCCTAACCCTAGCCTTGGCTGTGAGGTGATGCTGGATTTCCTTGAGTCCAAAATTGAGGGGATCCATTCAGCTGCCTCCGTCCTCCCAACCACCACTCCCTCCCCATCTCCCCCCCACACTCCGCCCCCTACCCATCCCTCCATCCACATTTTCAAACCTGTCTCCCCCTCCTCTCTCATCACCACCATATCCAGCATGAAACACAGCACCTGCTCACTTTACCCCATCCCCACCCCTCTCACCTCCCAGCTCCACCTCCTCCCCTCTACTCTCCAACACCGTTGATCTCTCCCAATCATTTGGCACCATACCTATCCCCTTCAAAACAGCCATAATCACCCCCATCCTGAAAAAACCATGGACCATCCTGGACCCATCCCTGCTTTCTAACTACTGGCCCATCTCCAACCTCCTTTTTCTTTCCAAGGACCTTGAAAGAATCGTTGATTCCCAGCTTCACTCATTCCTGTCCTACCACTTCCTTCACGAGCCCCTCCAATCAGATTTCTGTGCTGCTTACAGCATGGAAACTGCTCTGGCCAAGGTAACAAATGACATCCTGTCCAACTGTCATCAGGGCTCCCTTTGTCTCCTTGTCCTTCTCGACCTCTCTGCTGCCTTTGATATAGTGGACCTCTCCTCTCACCTCAACCTTCAACATTCTGTCCTTGAACAGTGCAGGTCTTAACTCTCACACCGTCTCCAGTTTGTTTCCGCCAACGGTTTCTCCTCCAGCCCTCACACAATTTTGAGCGGTGTTCCTGAGGGCTCTGTCCTCGTTCCCCTCCTCTTCAACCTCTACATGCTCCCCTTTGGTGACATCATCCAGAGACATGGGGTCAACTTCTCTCTCTGCCTCCATCTTCGATTCCAGGAAACTGACATTTTGACATTAAGTCCTGAATGAGAGCTAACTTTCTACAGCTGAATGTCAGCAAGACCGAGGCCCTCCTGATTGGCTTGTGCCAGCGCCTCCGCACCTCAGGCACCGGCAGCAACAGCATCCTGGAAGCACACTCCACCTCGTCAAGCCAGTCAGGAACCCGGGGGTCTTGTTCAACCTCCAACTATCCTTTCTCCCCCTTATTCCCGCTCTGCCATACCCCACCTCTGCAACATTGCCCGAGTCTACCACTGCCTCACCCCTCAAGCTACCGAAACCCTCAACTCCCTCCTTGTCGGCCTCCCCAACACTTCTCTCCACAAGCTGCAGATCATCAGAACTTTGCAGCTCATGTCCTTTCCTGCACTAGGCTCCGTGACTCTATCACCCTCACCCTCACCAGCTCCACTGGCTCCCCATCCCTCAGAGGATAGAATTCAAAATCCTCATCCTCACTTTCAAGGCCCTCCATGGCCTTGCCCCCTCCTACATCTCAATGCTACCCCCTATCAACCATCCACTCCCTCCGCTCAGTGAGCTCCAGCCTGCTCCATGTCGCCCGCCCGACCATCGGCGGCCGGGCTTTCAGCCTCTCTGCCCCTACTGTTTGGAATTCCATCCCACAATCCCTTTGCCTTGCTCCCTCTCTTGCCTCCTTCAAGCACGACTCAAGACCCTCCTTTTCGACCATGTCTTCAGCCGCCCTCCAAACTCGCTACCCTCCCTCACCCCAACTCTGACCCCCATGCTGGGGTCGACTGTTCAGCGCCTTGGGACGTTCTCCCGCTGGGAAAGGTGCTTTCCAACTGTAATTTTGTTGTCATTTTAATTATACATCTGTGATTCTCTTCATGGCAGTCTGCACATAAAATCATTCTCAAACCCAGGTATCAGAGTCCAGTTCATGCTGATCTCATGGTCTCACAGGGTTAGGCTCACTTAAAAGTATCCCACCTCACAAATTGTTCCTTTTTTATTCTGCATTTTTGCCTGCAAATTGCACACTCACTACACTTTGTAGGATGTCCTCTCGCATTGAATGGCTCTCTATCAAATGTAAAAACTATTTTTATTTTGCTGCATGGTTGACGGGGGATATCTGGCGGGAGTGGAAATCTTTGAGATTTTGGTGGCAATTCACTACCAAAGCTGGAGTAAAGTGAGTCTCACCGGGTCTGACACCCAAGTGAGTCTCATACAGTCTGACACCAAACAGAGGAGGTAGTTTCAGAAACGGAGAGATTGACACTCCACAGTATAAACCTGGGAAGTTTGAACTACGAGAGATTTCTTTCTTCACACTATCCGTCCAACTGTTCGTTGGTATCACTTTCACCTTTGAGGCCGGAGGTTGTTGGTTCAAGCTCCAAATTGGAACTTTGAACTCATGGTCTGGGCTGATGCTCCAATACAGTGCTGTGATGTCCTCTTCGTTGTTGGAGGTCCCTTCCTTTGGATAAGGTGTTTAAACCGAGGTTCCATCTACCTGTTCAGGTGGACATTAAAGATCCCATGACATGATGGCTGTGTGTGGGAAATCGCTCTGCGCAAATTGGCTGCCGCATTTGCCCTCAAAATACAGCCACGACACTTTACAGTGAAATCCTGTGAAGTACTTTGAGACGTCTCAATGACAAGGCATTAAATAAAATGCAAGGTTTATTAGTATTAAGACGGTGAAAAGGATTGCATTTACATTGCATTTACATTTAGGTCCGGCACATGTGTTTCACTTTGTATACATGCGTTTACACAAGGTTAACAAAACTTGTAAATTAGAGCTCAATTGGACACAAAAGGTATGAAAAATAGATTAGATGGGAGCCGATGCAACTAGGATTGTTTCCTGCTCCTGTTTCTGATATCGCTGACAACCTCCACCAAGTAGAATATTTCCCCCAGATTTCAATGATTTTTCCCTCCATTTATTCCTTGCAGGCTGGAATATTGCAATATTCCCATCTTGTTTTTAGATCATTGGTGTAACACCAGGGGATTACCTCGCCATCAAATTTCCTGCAGTAGTTTAACTTCAATCCTCTGAAATAATCAAAGAGAAATAATCTGAGGTTAGTATTCCTTTGTAACTCCTTCACCTTGTTCAAGGTCCATTTCAAGACCTACTCTGACTGCACTTTTAGTCACCTTACCCCTTCCCACCCCCCTTCGCACCCACTCCCAGTTTGGGTACCAAGCCAGGATTGTTAAGCTCCTTGGGACATCCTCCTAACATGAAAAGCACTGTATCAATGTAAATGTGTATAGTGTCTTTTCGTAATTCCATTGTTTTTAAATATTGGAATCAATATTATCGATTGAATTCCATTGGCAATGTCAGAATCAAGTCAAACCAATGTTGCAGTTTTTTTCCAGTTCCAGAGTACTCCAAGACACTGCTAATAACAGTCCATCCAGCCTGGCACTAAGAGGAGTGATTCTTCCAACTCAGTTCCTATGAATCCTGCATGCCAAAGATCTCACAGGCAGGTGATCCTAAATGGACAAAAGTAGCAAAAAGCTTGCCATTCACTCTCAATGGCAAGCTACACAGATTTAGCTGGCTAAAGACCGACAGTACACCAACACACAGTCTGTGGTCCCAAACCATGACTCTCACCAACCTACAGCTAATACTGTCCAGAATTAAGTAAGCAGGGAAAGAGTACACATTCCATTTCAGATTCAGGGAAATTGCCATGTGCACATGACTGACATAAATGAAAATCTGTCCCATTTAAGCATGGCGATAGGTTACCATATGTGTCAGGCACCAAACAACACCTGAATTAAACTGATAAGAGTGAGGATAATTAATGACTGGAATAGGTTGCCAGGAATGTTGTTCGAGGCTAGGACACTGAACTCATTTAAAAACTGTGTTAAAGGGATGGTAGGGTGGGTGCTCTGGAAGGTTTAGATGATTGCCCAAGAGGAGTGCAGAGGAGAGCAATGAAGATGATCCCAGTGCTAGAGGAATGAGCCATGAGCAACAACTAGTCAAGCTAGTGCTCTTCAGTCTTGAGAGAAGACGATTCAGACAAGTCGGGATCGGGAGCAGAGGGAATCTCATAGAAGTGTGTAAAATGTGAAATGGGATTGAAAAAATAAACCCAGCTCATTACTTTAAGATACATTGTGATAGTAGAACAAGAGAACATAGGTTTAGAGTTATGAAGGGCAATTTCAGGACAGATACCATGAAGTTATTCTTTACATAGAGTAATCAACAACTGGAACAGGTTGCCAGGAGAGGTAGTAGAGGCTGGGACATTAGATTCATTTAAAAGGAGCTTGCCGGAGTGATACTGGCACAGTTGGATGATTGTTCTGGAGGGATGAGTTCAGATGGGCCAAAGAGCCTTTCTGTCAAAACCAATCTTGTGATGTTTCGATAAAATGAGAAGCATTCAGCTAATTGGGCTGCATGTGGAACTTCACCCACAAAATATACAGTCAATTCACTTTGCAGTATATTCTGCGAAAGGCTTTGAGATATCTCAAAGACGTGATAAGGCGCCATATCAAATGCAAGGATTATTATTATTATTAACACTACATTTTGTGTTCCCCGAATAGACTATTTATTCTTACTCATAAGGGTAGTTCTCAGGAGTTCTTGAATGCTCGTGAGGTGCCTGTGATTCCCAGCACTGACATGTTTTACCAGACACAGTTTGCGATGCAGTCCCCCTGTATGTGGCGTCTTTTTTATAACAAAACGCATCAACATCAACTGCGGGCAGCTTGCGAACTTTGAAAAAAAAACATAGACACATATGACTTGATCAACTATTTGAGTTAAACAGGTATAAATTAATCGATGAATGAAAATAAATGTTATTTTAACATTTTAATTCAAACTACCCGCGTTTGTTCTTTTATCCCATTTGCTGTTATTTCTTTTTCTTCCTTGTCTGTCATTTCTCCTCATCCCAATTTCACATTTCCCTTTTTCTCCCCTCATTCTCTCTTGAATAGTGTTAACTCTTTCCTTAGTGACAGTTCCGCAATCACCAGTCTTAACGAATGACTATTCCTCATGTTCAAGTGTAGACTGGTTGATGGATGACTTTGAACCAGAAGGGACATGGTAACTGTGTCCAATTTTATCCTCATCCGATGCCAAAACACTGCACTTTCCAGCACTACTTTACTCACTGATAGAGCTGACGGCAATTGGTAGCCAGAAGTTTTCATTTAAATGTTTAATGTTTAAATGCACTCTTTCCAATTAACTTATGCTCCCATTCTTTCCTCTCACATGTGCCCTTTCCACCTCCATCTCCCCAACCCAGCTCTGCACGCCACAAGCTCAAAATCATCCATAACTCTGCAGCCCACATTCTCTCCCACACAAGGTTCCAAGATCCCATCACCCCAATCCTCACCTGACTATACTGGCTCCCTATTCTACAACAGATTAACTCTCATCTTGAAATTCAACCACAGTCTTGCCCCACTCTACATCTCCAGCAGTCTTACTCCCCTGCCCCGACCCTTCTTCCACACAGATCTAGAAACATAGGAACAGGAGGATGCCATTCAGCCCGTTAAGTATGGTCCACCATTTAATTAGATCATGGCTGATCTGTACCTCAACCACTCCTTTCAATTCCAATTTCCCACTTTCTCCCCATATCCCTTAACACCCTGACCTACCAAAGATCTATGAACCTCACTCTTGAAGGTGTGGATGGATCCAGCAGTGGTTGGGGGAGACAATTCCAGATTTCTACCATCCTTTGAGTGGAAAAAATGCTTCCTGATTTCACTCTTAAAAGGCCTGGTTCTAATTTTAAGATTAAACCTCCTTAGTTTAGATTCCCCCACCAGAGCAAATAGCTTCTCTGTATCTACCCTATCAAATCCCTTCATCATCTTCAATACCTCAATCAAATTACCCCCCAACCTTCTAAACTCAAACGCAAATTTCGATATAAAACTTTCTAGTCCTTCATCCAAGTCATTTATATATGTGGCGAATAGCTGGGGTCTCAGTACAGACTCCTGGGGGGCACCACTTGTCACATCCCGCCAATCAGGGAACATTCCCTTTATCCCCACCAATTGCCAAGCCACATCACAAGGTTACCTCCAACTCCATGGGCTACCATTTTCGTTAATAATCTTTTGTTTGGACCCTTATCGAATACCTTCTGAAAGTCCATATAAAGTCCATAGACACTCTCTTATCTAATATTTTAGTGCCTTCCTTAAAAATTTAACTAGATTAGTCAGAGACGACCTACTGTTCACAAACCCATGCTGATTCTTTTTGACTAGCTCATAACTGTCCAAGTGTTCATTCACTCTGTCCCTGATGATGGATTCCAGTATTTTCCCTACAACTGACATTAAGCTGGCAGGTCTGGTGTTTCCTGGTTTCTCCCTCCCTTCTTATATAAAGGGGTGACATTTGCAATTTTCCAATCTAAGGGCACAATTCTCAAATCTAGTGAGCTTTGGAAAATGATGACGAATGCATCTGAAATTTCCTCTCCTGTTTCCTTTAACACCCTGGGATGAAAACTCTCAGGTCCTGGAGATTTGTCTATCTTGAGTCACATTACTTTCTCCATTACCATTTTTTTATTTATATTAATTTTATTAAGCATTTCTCTTTGACTTATTTTTAGGTTCCCCTGTATGGCTGGTATTTTGTCCTCATCCTCATCGGTAGCAAAGTATTTATTTAACAAGTCAGCCATTTCCTTATTTTCCGTTATAGTCTCACCTACATCTGTCTTTAACCACCCCACATTCCCCTTGACCATTTTTTTTCTCTTAATATATTTATAAAAGCTTTTACTATTGATTTTAGCAACCCTTGCAAATTTTTCTCATACTCCATTTTTGCTCCTCATTACTTTCTTATATCCCTTTGTTGCCTTTTGTAGTTCTCCCAATCCTTTGCATTCCCACTTTTTCTTGCATTTGAGTAAGCCTTTTCTTTTAGCTTGATACAGTCTCTAACGTCTTTTGTCCACTATGGTTACTAAAGTGCACAATTGGAGCTTTTGCGTTTTAGGGGTATATACTTGTTCTTGTACTTGTATCAAATACTTTTTTGAATACTTCCCATTGTTCATCTGCAGATTTACCCACTAATAGTTCAGCCCAGTTTACTGTGGTTAATATATTTTTTATCCCATAGAAGTTTACTTTACTTAAATTTAAAACTTTGGTTTGGTACTCTCCCTTTTCTCTCTCAAATCCAATGACAAATTTAATCATGTTATGATCTATATTTGCAAGATGTTCCCTTACTGTCAGATTGTTAACTAGTTCTGGCTTATTATTCATCACCAAATCCAGCATGGCTTGTTCCCTTGTTGGTTCTAAAACATATTGTTGCAAAAAAACTATCCTGAATTAAAAAAACTATCCTAGAAATTTGTTGCCTTTACTACCTGAGGTGTAAAGACAACAAATACTTCTGCTTCTCCCAGTCTATGCAAAATTTCAAATCTCCCATTATAACCACATTGTTTTTGCTGCATGCTTCTCTGATTTCCATATTTATAAAGTTCCCCACTACATCACAACTCTCTGGAGGTCTGTAGACTACTCCCAACAGAGTCTTACCTCATTTGCTGTTCCTTAATTCTACCCACAGTGTTTCCACTACCTGATCACCCTTACTGAAATCTTTCCTTTCCACTGCTGTAATGTCTCTTTTATCAATATTGCTACTCCTCCTCCTTTCCCAATGTCCCTGTCTTTTCTAAAGATTTTATAGTTTGGAATATTTAGCTCCCAGTCCTGCCCAGATTGTAACCGGGTCTCTGCTGAATTTGTGCTTCTAACTCACTTATTTTATTTCTTATGCTTCATGCATTTGTATACATAGCTCTTATTTGGGTAATTGCCTATGCCCCCCGATGATGTTCTTCTCACACATTTTAACTTGTTACACCTTTTGTGATAAGTTTCTATTAGCTTTTTCTTTCCTGCAGTATTTATGTTATCTTTATCACTATTTTTATTCTGACCGTTGCTCTCATCCTCTCCTTGCCTTATGTTTTAGTTTCCATCCGAACTCCCACCCTTACTGGTTCAAAGCTTTTTCTACAGTTCTATTTATCCTTTTTGCTAGTACCTTGGTCCCAGCCCTGTTCAGGTGCAGCCCATCCCAGCAGTACAGCTCATTCCTGTCCTAGTGCTGGTGCCAGTGACCCATGAAATGGAACCCCTCTTTCTCATACTACTGTTTCAGCCACACATTCATTTCCCTGATCTGTTTACCTCCATGCCAATTTGCACGTGGCTTGGGTAGCAATCCAGAGATTAACACCTTTGAGGTCCTGTTTTTTTAATTTAACCCCTGGCTCTTGATACTCCCTGAGCAGAACCCCCTTCTTGCTCTTTCCTATGTCATTGGGTCCCACATGGATAACAACAGCTGGTTCTTTCCCCTCCCTTTCCAAGTTCCTTTTCAGCTGCTTTGAAATATCACTTACCCTGGCACCGGGAAGGCAACACACCCTCCTGCAGAGGATACTCAATCCCTTAATTATTTAATCCCCTATAACTACAACATTTCTATTCTGCTCCTCCCCCACTAGCACTGCCTTCTGCTCTATGGTGCTTTGGTTTGCATTCAGGCTTCCTTCCCCACAGACTTCTCCTTCATCCAATGTAGCAAATACATTGTACCTGTTGGACAGGACCAGTGCCCCCTCCTTTGCCTCTACTGAGTAAATGCTACCCTGCTGGCTATCAATCTCACACTCCTCTTCCTGAACCTCTGAATATGATGTGGCTATGATCTGAAGTAAATTGTCCAAATATTCCTCCTCCTCCCTTATCCTGTAGGGAGGAGTCCTGTAGCTCAGTGGTTAGAGCACTCGCTTTGCAAGTGAGAGACCTGAGTTCAATTCCAGGCAGAGGGCGAAACCTTGGGCAAGTTTCCTTACTCCACACGCTAATAATAATCCCTCCAAAAAACAAAACATTAATAAATTGGTCATTTTCAATCTACGACTGTTTGTGGGACATTGCTGTGCGCAATTGGCTGCCGCGTTCGCCCACAAATATACAGTCAATTCACTTTACAGTATATTCTGTGAAGCGCTTTGGGACGTCCTCCCAACATGAAAAGCGCTATATCAAATGCAAGGATTATTATTATTATTATCCGTTGGAGTGTCTCTAACGGGCACTTCAGGTCAAAAACCCTGAGCTTGCGTGACTCAAGACATATGCACTTCTCACAAATGTGACCATCAGGGACAGTCTTACTGTCCACGAATTCCCACATACTGCAGGTCAGTATTACTTGTGTTGCCATTATCCCTCTATAGCTTCTATTCCACTTCATATTTAGGATTATTTATATATATATGCTTATTAATATATATTATATATTACATTTATTTAAATTTACAAAGCTTTTCCTTCATCTTTTATTTGTTTTTAGTTATTTTCCCCTCAATCTATTTTACCATTAACAATTTCAGGATAAATAGGTAAAGAAGTAATTTTGCGCCTCTTGTCCCTTGCTCACTCCTTAATATTAACACCTACTTACTCAGGAATGTTACCGTTGGTCTAGGAGCCCTTGTGTCTAGACCAACTGAAACTCCTGTCTTCTACACTTGACTTCACTCTCCGATCCCCCGCAAGCCCCGAAAAGGCTCCCGCATTGAGCTCTCTCGCTGTTTCTGTTTCTACTTTACAAGCAAATCAAAACAAGTTCCCACTCTGCATTCCTTCACACTCTGCACCTCCTTCGCACTCTGCACCTCCTTCGCACTCTCACCAAATTCCTTAACAGAATTCTCACTCTGTTCCACCTCACTCGGTTCCCTCCTCACGCTGCTGGCCACTCTGCTTCATGTTCCCCAACCACCATTGATTGATGAGCAATTAGCCATTTTATCCAACTCTCTGAAACGTTCTCACTTAAATCCATCTGGCTCACTCCCACTCTCTCTAGTTTCAGAAATCAAAATCTGCTTCGTAACTATACCTTCAGCAATCTTCCCCCCTTCCCTCCTCCCATCCCCTCATCTCTCACCTTGCTCAGACTTCATCCTGCAAAGGGTTTTGAGATGTTTTCCTATGTGAAAGATGCTAGATCAAATTATTATCTCACCAGAGTTGTATTCCTCACAGGACAGAATTGAGCAATATTCCCATCTTACATCGGGGTCCATGGTGTAACACCATGGAGCCTCACCATCACCGGGATTTCTGCAGTAGTTTTCTATTAGCCCTCTGAAATATTAGAACAAGACACTGTCACTCTTTACAAAAGTTAATTTCAAATGACGATGGATGTAAAATGCGATTGTTTACAAACCAGAAGATCCTGAATCTCACTTTTGCCAGCTTTTTTTTTTTGGTGGGGGGGGGGTGTGCGGGGGGAGAGAGTTTGCAGCTTTGAATTTGCAATTTGTTGTTTTTATGAATGTCGCTGTGAATGTTGCTATCTGATATATTTGTACTTCTAACCACCATCAAATTGAAAGGTCTCCAAATGTTTCACACTCAGTACAGTGAAATGTAGTCATTGTTTTTGTAGGCAATCACAGCAGCGATTTGTCCCAGCAAAGACCCACAGACATCTATCAGGTGAATGAACAATTTACTGTATAGATGAGCACTCCAGGATGCTACCCCACGTGAAGGGCGCTATATAAATTCAAGTTGTTGTTGTTGACCAATTCAGCTGGAGGGTTGTTGCCCATGACATTGGGAGACTCTCACTTTTCTTTTCAAAGAGTGTTATGGGATATTTTATGTCAAATAGGCAGATGGGACCACAGATGTCTCATTCCAAAAGACAACACTTCTGACAAAGCAGTGATCCTCCCAGCAATGTAATGAAGTACCAGGCTAGACTAGGAACTCAAAATCCCAACCTGGGGCTTGAACCCACAACTTTCTCACTTGGAGGCTATCCACTGCAGCAGGATAATGCCTTACATACCCATAGTAATAATAATAATAATCCTTGCATTTGATATAGCGCTTTTCACCTCTTCTAGACGTTCCAAAGCGCTTCACAGAATATATTGTAAAGTGAATTGACTGTATATTTGTGGGTGAATGCGGCAGCCAATTGCGCACAGCAATGTCCCACAAACAGTCGTGGATTGAAAATGACCAATTTATTATTGTTTTGTTTCGGAGGGATTATTATTAGGCTCTGTGTGGAGTAAGGAAACTTGCCCAGGGTTTCACCCTCTGCCTGGAATTGAACTCAGGTCTCTCACTTGCAAAGCGAGTGCTCTAACCACTGAGCTACAAGACTCAGTGCTCTACATCATTACATGGTTACATCAGTGCTTGAACTGCTTAGCTTTGGCTAAGTGATCCACTTTGGTTCAGTGATCAATATTATTTTTCTTTACAATGGGATCTATATGTGATGAATTATATAAGATTTCTTATTAAAGAAATGTGACAAAATCAAGTTGTTTTGATATGCAACCAATTTCCTTATTAAGGGAATCCAGTTAGAAATGACCAATTAATAAATCCCATAGAAAAACAATGTAGAACTCCCATAAATGTAGACTCTCTTACTTGTTAGGATAGTCTTTATATATTCTGATATGCTGATGGGGTTTCTGTGAGTCCCATCGTTGGCAGGTTTTACCAGACTTGGTTGTTTGCACAATCCCTCGATATGTTGTACCAGTTTTTCCTGTGTAACACTGCATCTCTGTTGCAACAGAAGGGAGTTTGAGGATATTAGGATAAAAATAAAACAACCTATCTTAAGAGTAGATTACCTTTCTGTTCAATAAAGCTGACAAACCACAATAGCTGATGTTTCTAAACGCATTGTACCAGTGATGTGACCTTTGGTAATTTTTGCAAAGAGGCAAATTTTGGCCAATTTAACACCATTCACTCAGACTGCAAGCTCTCCACATTGTTCCTGAAAATGTGATTCTCGTATTTCAATAATCTAGTAATTATGGGGTGAAAATGCAATACTCCATAACATAGTTGATAAAACATGTCAAGAGTTCTAATTTGAGAAAAGCTCTAACCTGGCCAATCTTTCTTGATACTACACATCTTTGGTAACATCCTTGTAAATCTAAATATTTTACATACTAAATAGTACAATTTACACATATATAGCTTCATTCAAGACACAAGGGTGTCTCAAAGCTTTAAATATTAATATAAATAATTTTTTTGTTTACTAAAGAAGATTTGTATTTTTTTCACCTGGCTGATAGTCCTCACATTTTGGAATAGGACAATATTCCCATCTTTTTTGGGGGTCAGTTGTGTAACACCATGGTGCTTTTTCATCGTCAGGATTTCTGCAGTAATTTTCTGTCATTCCCCTGAAATATAAGATATTGTCGCTCTTCTTCAGCTTTAAAATTAGGTAAAAAATTATTCAATTCTAAAAGTTCATTTTCCAATGAATTGCACTTAAAACATATCCTGAAGGAATAGACCATATTTAACTTTCTTTGTGAAAATACTCTTATCTTCACCTATCTACAAAAAAAACCAAGATTAATTTGAATGCTCTTTGGCTCTTTTGATACTATCTTTCCAGAATAGCAACCATACCAGCTTTGAATTACATCACCAAACTGCTTCTTGATTTGATCAAATGGGTTCAGTATCCTGGCCTGAACCACTCTATCTGGTAATCCTTTCCCTTTGATTACTCTCTATGTAACAAAATGCTTCCCGGTTTCTATCTGAAATTAACAACCCTGAACTTGTGCTCTTTTGTCTTGCTGACTTAGTGTATCTGAATGTTTTTCTGGTTTATTTCACTATCCCATCTAGCATCTTATACACCTCCATAAGTTAGAGGAGTGGGGTGTAAGCAGATCAGCGAGGTAGGGAGGTGCCAGGGCATGAAATGATTCAAACATGAGTGTGAGGATCTTGAAATCGATCCGTTCTGTATTAGGAAGCCACTGAAGCTTGGCAAGAACTGGGGTGATGGGGATGTGGTTTAGTAGGGGCAATAACATTTTGAATTAATTGGATTTTATGAATGGTGGTGATGGGGAGAACTACAAGGAGGGTTCTGGAAAAATCAAAGTGGGAGGTGACAAATAAAAGATGAGGGTTTCAGCTGTGTTCCATGTGAGGTACAGTCAGAGTTAGGTGATTCAGGGGAGGCGGAGGAAAGCAGTCATATCCAACACTAAGGATCAGCCTCATTGCTCTGCACAGCTAGATATGTACAGAGTCTAATACCAGAGATCAGCCTCATAACTCTTCTCTGCTAGATTCATACAAAATCTAACACTGCAGGTAGAACACATTGCTCTGCATTGCTGTACAAATGCATACAGTCTAACACTGGGATCAATCTCATTGCTCTCTGCCCACCAATGCTTGACTATATTCAGTGATCAATGCTTAGCATATATATATTTAAACATTTTGGTGTTTCTTACTTGTAAGGATAGTTCTGAACTGTACGTTGATGCTCATGGGGATCCTGTGAGTCCCAGCGTTGGCATGTTTTACCAGACACAGTTGTAGACACAATCCCTCTGTAGGTACTACCAGTATAACAGTCTGCCTCTGTTTAGATGATGAATAGACATCATTTTTAAGATATCAGTGAATTGTTTTAGAATGGAATGTGAGGTATAGAATTTTTTATAAAAAATATTTTTCTAGTAAAATTGATTGATACAACTACTAAATACATCATCCAAATCAGAAGCTAGGTTTATAGTGAATACAGCTTCTATAAACTGCCTACCAACATGCCGTTCAGCGGTCTCTGGTCTGCTCCATGTCTCCCGCCCTACCATTGGTGGCCGGGCTTTCAGCCCACACTCTGGAACTCCATCCCACGGTACCTTCGCCTCGCTTCCTCCCTTGCCTCCTTCAAGGCCCATCTCAAGACCCTTCTCTTCGTCCATGCTTTTGGTTGCCCTCCCACCTCTCTGCCTTCCCTCACCCCTACATCACCCCTCCCCCATGCTCCGACCCCGACACCTGACTGTTCAGCGCTTTGGGACGTCCTCCCGACGTGAAAGGCGCTCTATAAATGTAATTTTGTTGTTGTTATTGTTCCTCCCCAGACATAATCATCATCCTTGCTTTTGATGTAGTACTTTATCACATCATTAATGTCTCAAAGAGCTTCACAAGATTTTCTGTAAAGTGTAGTAACTCTGTATTTTGTAGGCAAACACTTTAGCCAATTTGTACACAGCAATGTGCCACAAACAGCAAGCTGGTAAATGATCAATTTTACTTTGAGGACTTTTGGCAAGGAGACCAGGAGAAACTCTCTTCTTTTCGAGTAGTAGCATAAGAACATCCACCTGAACAGGCAGACCGGACCGAAGGCCTGAAGGATGGCACCTCCAAAAATCAGTGCTCCCCCAGCACTAGAGAGTCATTCACTTCATGACTGTTTGTGAGACAATACTGTTTGCAAATTGACTGTGCATTCACCTACAAATATGCAATCGTTACATTTCACAGTAAATTGTGTTTGAGAGGTCTTGATGATGTGACAAGGCACTATATCAGTGGAAATATTGTTATTATTATTATCACAAGCCATATATATCTAAGGTATTAAATGGTGAAAAAGGGAATAACCTGGAGTTTCATCATTACAGTATAGTATTGGACAATATTCCCATCTTGTTTTGGAGTCTGTGGTGTAACACCAGGGTATTTTCGCCTCAACATCTCTACAGTAGTTTTCTGTCAGTGCCCTGAAATATCAGAACAAGATGTTGTCAGTGTTCCAGCATGTCCAAGATTCTGTGGACAAATAACTAACCCTCAAAATGTCATCTCATGGAGAATAAGGTGGATAATGTAATATTAGCAAACCAAAAGGCACTGTACTTTGATGTACAATTTGTGATGAGATTAGATATTTGGGGAAAAAAGGGGTAAAAATCTGATTTGAAAAACTGCAAAGGCGGTTTTCAGTACGTTGTTTTGGATTATGATCTATTTCCAAAAAAAATCTGGTTTCCAATGAATAGGAGCTGATGGTGACATAACAAGTCAGGAGTCAACACCCTTTAACTTGGGATGTCAAATTCCTGTGTGCTATAAAGCAAGTGCTGCTGACTATGTCAGATGGAAATGGAGCTAACCCACATCTTTAGGATTTTTTGAGAAAGTAAATGTTGAGGTCCATATCTCAACAATGTCGGACAAAACTGCAATCTAATGAAGCATTTTATAATGCTTCCACTTTATTTGGCTAACCAAAGCATTTTTCACAAATTCAGAAATAATGCAAATTCAAATATTACACAACATTTAGTAAATTGAAAAATCTCTTACCTGCCAGGGTAGTTTTCAGGTATGAACTTATGCTTATGAGGTTTCTGTGAGTCCCAACGTTGGCAGGTTTTACCACTCACAGTTGAAGACACAACCCCTCGATATATAGAACTGCTGGATTCAGTGTAACACTTGATTTCTTGTACATTAGAAGGCAATTTGAGAACATCAATAATTCTTAGAATCATAGAATTATAGAGCAAAAAAGAGGCCAATTGACCCATCCTTTCTATCCCGGCTCTTTGAAAAGAGCTACCCAAATCAATCCCACTCCTCCACGCTCTCCCCATAGCCTTGCAAACTTGACCTCCCCAAATAATTATCTACTCTCTTAAAAGTTGTTTTAATAGTTGTGAAAATCACACTGAAATAAACTATTGAACAAACTTGAAACAATGTCAGTACTAAATCAGTTAATCTCTTCGTTCACTCTTATATAGTTATGAATATTTCAGAAAACAGTTTTTCATACAAAGGGTTATGAAAATGTGGAATTCAGTACCCAAAAGATTGTGGATGTCTGGCGAATTGAAACTTTTAAAAGGCGCCAAATGAATGTTTGGTGATGTATTGTTTCAAGGGAAATGGTATTAAGTTGCAGATCAGCACAATCGAATAAAATAGTGGAGACGACTTGACAGCTGGGCAGTCTCCTCCTATTCCTCGCTTATATTCTTATGAGTGTGTTTTGATTGCTCAGTTTTCTTTGATAAACTCAGCCACTCAGAAATGAAAGATATCATTTACAATCTGTGCTAAATTCTGCAGCTCAATGGTTGGAGCACTCGCCTCACAAGATACCTGGGTTTAATTCCCTCAGGGCGAAACTTTGGGCAAGTTTCCTTACTCCACACGTCTGATAATAATCCCTCAAGAAAAAATAACAATAATAAATTGGTCACTTCAATCCACGACTGTTTGTGGGACACTGCAGTGTGTAATTGGCTGCCACTTTTCGTCCACAAATATGCAGTCAATTCACTTTACAGTATATTCTGTGAAGTGCTTTGAGATGTCCCAAAAGACATGAAAAGCGCCATATCAAATTCAAGGATAATTATATATTATATAAATCAGCTGGGCTATGGCTGGGGCGGGGCTGGGGGCAGGGCCCCCCAGCCCCGCCCCAGCCATAGCCCACAACACTGATATATTCAGTAAGTCTTTTATTCTCTGCTCTCAATACTCCAATCATAAACCCATCCCTGGTTCCCTTCCCAGGATTGTTTTATGCTTCTATTTCAGTGAAATAGAAAGGTCAAACACTCAATAGGAATTCTAACGGGATTTCTTATGAACGTTTTTTCTGATTCCTGTGCAATGTGTTTCAATTGACAGAAGGGTTAAAAAAATGAATTTATGAAGAATGTTTTCTTTTTCACCTGTGTTGTAATCCTCACACTTTGATATTAAGCAGGTTTCCCATGTTGTTTGGGGGTCAGTGGTGTAACACCAGGGAGCTGCCTCACCACCAGGTTGTCTGCAGTAGTTTTCTATCAGACCTCTGAAATATGAGAACATTCTGATTTGGGAGTTTGAACCACACAGAAATCAATGAACTTGGAGATTTTCTGCAAAGGCTCATTTTATGGACAATATAGTAAAGCTTAAACCATTTACTGAGCGAAAAGATGAATGGTAATTTTCCTCTCTCTGACATAGAACAATAGAAATTTACAGCACAGAAGAAGGCTACTCAGTGCATTATGTCTGTGCTGACTCTCTTAAAAGGCCATCTTGTTGAATATTGCTTGCATTAGCCATGCTACAATTGAAATACAAATTATGGGCAGATGGCTGTTTAAGAGTGTCCAAACCAGACTGAAAGTTCACACATGGAAATTCCTGTATTGGAATGGAATAAACACTCTCTCCGCAGATGGACATGCCCTTCTTACCTAATTCCGGAGATTATTTGGTGAAGGTTAAGGTCAAGAGCCAAGGCTTGGGGACTCGAAAGTACGTGTTGGAGTAGAGCATAGCATGGTTTGCTAAAAGTGAACTCTCAGTCTAGGTTTGGACACTCTTAACCATGTTTCAGACACCCTGCTGCCCATAATTTTTATTTCAATTGGAAGCCTTGTTTGGTAAGATTCCCACTTGTGCAGATGGGAAACCAGGGCTTTGGCTGGCATTGTTAACAGGAGGTGAAGTCAAAGACTCACTGCCCACAGTGACTGGTCTGCCCCTCCAAGTCCTGAGATGAACCAGGGTGACTGGTCTGTTATCAGCAGTGCACTAGAGTACTTTTGGATCTGACTGGTGCAGGAGCTGGATTACCAAGACCACAAAAGAGGACTGACTCAGCTCTAACATTCTTCTGCCGAGCCACCTGATTACAAGGTGCCATGTCACTTGTAGCCAGTTCAGCTCCAAGGAGATCTCCCCCCCACCAACCAAAAAAGTATAATCACAATATTAAATTATAGAGCAATTGTCTTAAGAGTCCTCTGAAGTTCAGGACTCAGAAGTGAAACTTTACTCTAGTAGCAGATTAGGTTTCCTAAATCTTACTGATCAGTGAACTTCTCAGGTGTTATCGTGTGTTTATGAGGTGCCTGTGAGTCCCAGCGTTGACAGTGTTTACCAGACACAGTTGTAGACACAGTCCCTCGATAGGTAGTCTCATTTCCATTGTAACAACGTGCCTCTGTTGCAAAAGAAAGTTTCGGAAAACTTATAAAAGTGAGAAAATAACTGTCTCTCAATCCCTATGCCATGTATTACTTCTCTTCAAACCGTTATCCAATAACCTAATAAATCTATTAAATTTTGACTTACTTTTTAATGATTGCATATACTACACAATTACTATCAACATAAGTTCACAATTAAGAACTTTTCAAATTCTTCCCAGTGTTTAAATCAATGTTTTGGGCCTAGTTATCTTTCTAAATGGCCTGCTAACATATCTCTTCAGCTGAACCCTCCACAAGCTCCAAATTCATCCAGACTTGCATAGCCCCCATTCTTGTCCACACAAGGCTCTGTGAGCCCATTGCTCTCCACCCCACTCTCGACAGGCTCCACTGATTCCCTTGTCAGATTAACTTTAAGATCCTCGCCCTCACCTTCAAATGCCTTGCTTTGCCCCATCCCATTTCTTTAATCTATTACAGTTTTATTCCCCTGCCCCGTCCATCAACTCTGGCGTACTTCATGTCCCCAGTCCCCTCTGCATGTCCCCAGTCCCCTCCTTATTAAATTATTCATTAATAAATATCATAATGCATGCATTTAATCATGTATAAGGTCTGTTTTAGAGCCCTCATTAAAACAAATCTATAGATAACATTTTCAGTGTTGTCACCACCTTGATTTTGATGCCAAGGGTCAAGACATACAATTTCTCAATCTAGATGCTGCCTCTGGAGTTGTTTTTATAGGATACTGGCTGAATAAAGCCAATACCCTATTTTTAGTTCATAAAATCTGCCATTTTCCACTATCAGGTGGGTTAAATATCCCATTGACACTCTAATTTAATTTTAAATCCAGGAGCTATCCTAGAAAACAAATATTAAAGAATAATCACCAAGTTCACTTTAAATTCAAAATTAATGTGTTGTTTTATTCAACCCCTAAGGTGTGCACAACATTTGGATAGTTCTGGCTGGAAATCATTTTACAAATCAGTAGCAAATATGATTATGGAGGACTACGCTGTGGAGGCATCTCTAATGTGTAACAACATCTTGGGAATTAGTGTTAAAGAAAGGGTACATGCATAGACTAAGAGAAAACAATAAGAAAACCCATTGCTAAGTAAGAGAGGCAAACAGTGAGATGTTAGCAAGTGAGCATATCTTTCTGTATAATATCCTGTGTTGTTCTTACCTGGCTGATAGTCTTCACATTTTGGTACTGAACAATATTCCCATCTTTTTTGGGGGTCTGTGGTGTAACACCACGGTACTTTCTCTTGATCAGTTGTTCTGCAGTAATTTTCACCAGTCCACTGGAATATTGGAATATCCATTAGTCCAATAGACAAAAACATCAATGTTCAAAAAGATAAATTTACTCCACCAATATTTTCTCTTTCTTTCCTCTCCTGAAAGCATCTTTTTCCCATCTCCTGAGTTACTATTGCAAGCAACGGTTGCCCCAAAGGGTCATTATTCATGGATGAACCTTTACAGTAAATAGCAGCAGGTTGTTTGACTAATAATAATAATCCTTGCATTTGATATAGCGCTTTTCATGTCGGGAGGACGTCCCAAAGCGCTTTACAGAACACACTGTAAAGTGAATTGACTGTATATTTGTGGGCGAACGCGGCAGCCAATTGCACACAGCAATGTCCCACAAACAGTCGTAGATTGAAAATGACCAATTTGTTATTGTTTTTGGTTTTGGAGGGATTATTATTAGGCGTGTGGAGTAAGGAAACTTGCCCAAGGTTTCGCCCTCTGCCTGGAATTGAACTCAGGTTTCTCGCTTGCAAAGCGAGTGCTCTAACCACTGAGCTACAGGACTAGTGGGGTGGGGGAGCAGTACATCAGCTAAGTCAATACTTCATTACTCTGCATCCAAAGGTGAAGTTGAGGCCAAATGTACAGCTCCACTAGCTAACTCAGCACAGACTGAGAATTTAACCCTCCCATGTCTATCAGTGTGCTTCTCTGTCAGTCAAATCCTTTCTTTCCAAGCAGAGTGCTTAAGATATGGAATGTCCTGCCGGCAGCAGTGGTTGAAGCAGAATCCGTATTAGATTTCAAAAGGGGAACTTGATACATATTTAAAAAGATATTTTCAGAGGTGCGGGGAACTGGCAGGTAAATGGGACTGAAAAGATTGCTCTTTAAAACTCTTTCAAAGAGCCAATCCAGGCACAATGGGCTGAATGGTTTTCATCTGTGCTGTAAATTTCAATGGTTCTACAACCTGTGTGGCCAGCTAGTCACTGGATAGATACACTGAACCAACAGGCAACCCCATTCATAACATTTTAAGTTAAATAGAAATAGAGCAATTTCTCAACGGATATTTTGATGAAAATATAATACTCGCTCAAACTGTGAATAAAGTTTTATGTGTAATCTTCCTTTGAAAGTTATTTATATCTTCCAACAACAAGATTACATTTGTATAGAGCCTTTCACGTCCACAAAGTATATAGTAAATAATCCATCTCCAATAATATTGTTTTCTCCATATTAATTCATACAGTTGTTCCCATCGCCTCCTCTCTCTGTAGATCTTAACACATAGAAACTGGAGTAGGCCATTCAGCCCCTCAAGCGTGTTCCACCAATCTTTAAGAAGATGGCTGATCCCACTAATAGACTCTGAGAGCAGAGCTTGCCATATAAGATACTATGGTCCATCCTCGCTGGAGTGTGTTTCTCTGGTGTTTATTTGAAAGAAGAATGATCCCTACTATGCTTGCATTGGAGACAGACATCTCATCAAGGGAATCTATTTCTGCACAGTCTTCAAATTATACTTTACCAGACAGAACGTTGATAACATATTGCTTACTTCCTGGGGTAGTTATCAGCTGCTATAGAATGCTCATGGGGTGTCTGTGAGTCCCAGCGTTGGCATGTTCTACCGGACACTGTTGTAGACACGACCCCTCGGTACTTATATCCATTGTTTTCAGTGTAACAGAGCATCTCTGTTGGTTACAACAGACACAGGTTGAGTGAAGTGGGGAAAAATAAATGACTGATAAGTGAGTCTGAATGAGTAGACAAACAATTATGTTCTCCAAAGTTACTAAACAACAAAGCAGTTGATGTCCAAACTAAGGGGTAAATCAGCAATGTTTTATAACTTGGTTGATGTGATAATTATTATCATGTGCAATCTATTTTGTGTTCGATTAGGGTTAGACAGGTAAGGGCAGAGCACCCTTCTGAATTGGAGAATGGTTTCTCCCTCCTCCTTATTTTCAACTTGATCAGCGCCAAATTGTTTCAAAATAAAGCATGGGCGTTTAATTTTTAACTTCTACACTCCAGAACGGCTTTTAAATTTAAAATAGTTCCTTGTTGGTCTAAGCTTTCTTCCTACCATTTCTAGTCTTCAATATGAGACTCAATGACGTGAATTCAGAATCATAGTTGCGAGATCAGAATTAAAGTTTCAAGCTCTTAGTAACATGGAGAAATATAATGTTTAACCTCACCTATCAAAAAGCCATTTCGGCTTATTCCTGTTCATTTTGTGGATCAGTTTGGAATTGGACATAAGTTAATTAAGCGCTCTGAGATGCCGTCAGGCGTGGAGGGTGCTATATAAATCCAAGTTGTAGTTGTTGTTGTTGCTGACAGAAAGCACATGCTTCTGATTTCAGAATCCCAAACCCTATCTGGCTAAAGCATTAAAATATGTAGGAATGTTCAACATAAAAAGAAAATAATTTATCACCTCGATCATAATGATCACAATGTGGTATTGGACAATATTCCCATTTTGTTTGGGGGTCTGTGGTGTAACACCAGGGTTGTTTTTCACCATCAGGATTTCTGCAGTAGTTTTCTGATAATCCTCTGAAATATCAGAACAAGATGCCATCACTGATCCACTGCTAGAATATTGTGTGCAGTTTTGGTCTCCTTATAATAATAATAATAATAATAATAATCCTTGCATTTGATATAGCGCTTTTCACGTCGGGAGGACGTCCCAAAGCACTTCACAGAACACACTGTAAAGTGAATTGACTGTATATTTGTGGGCGAACGTGGCAGCCAATTGCGAACAGCAATGTCCCACAAACAGTCGTAGATTGAAAATGACCAATTTTTTTTATTATTGTTTTTTGGTTTTTTTGGAGGGATTATTATTATCTTGTTGATACTCGTCAACAAGGTGATGTCTCACCACTGTAATCATAGACAGACTGCAGACATGGTTGGGAAGAGAGACTGCAGACATGGATGCAGTGGGCATGGAGAGAAGGAATAACATGACCAAATCCAGTGGCAGCCAGTTTCATAGCCAAGACCAATAATTTATATTTTGAAATAGACTGAGAACAGGAGAACTGTCTGCAATTGTTGTAGGCCTAGAAGCTTTCTTGCTTAAAAGCAGATATTTGAAAAGGTTAATGATGTCCTTTGAGAACACAGACTTCAGATGAAGTGCACATATACATACCAAATGTTGCACACATCAGTTTTGAACCCTGCACCTGCTTGATTTGGATACAGTGACAGCTGACTTGAGCCCAGGTCCCATCACTGCATACAGGCTGGGGCGGGGGGAGGCGGATTACACCTCCATTTGCGACTCTGCTGTACCAGTGCAGTCACCACCATGGTCAAAAAATGGCAAAGAAAGGACATACTCGCCTTAGAGGGGGTGCAGCGTAGATTCACTAGGTTGGTTCCTGGGATGAGGGGATTGACATATGAGGATACGCTGAATAAACTAGGCCTATATTATCTAAATATAGAAGAATTAGAGGCGATCTTATAGAAACCTATAAGATTCTTAAGGGTTTTGACAGGGTAGATGCCGTGAGACTGTTTCCCCTGGTTGGAGAATCTAAAACAAGGGGTCATAGTCTCAAGATTAAGGGTCAGCCTTTTCGAACTGAGTTGAGGAAACATTTCTTCACTCAGAAGGTAGTGAATTTATGGAATTCTCTACCCCAGAAGGCTGTGGATGCTCAGACCTTGAACATATTCAAGACTGCTGTTGATAGATTTCTAAAGGATACAGGGATTAAGGGATGGGGGGATAGGGCGGGTAAATGGAATTACGTTAGAAGATCAGCCATGATCTTATTAAATGGCGGGGCAGGATCGAGGGGCCGAATGGCCTACTCCTGCTCCTACATCGTATGGTCTTATGATCCAGCACATTCAGCATTGTGCGAACCGTTCCTAATTCATAAAGAGTCATCTTATATGATCTGATACAACCTAATTTTCTTTTTGGCTGAACACTTATCTGCTTGTTCTCCTTGCATGTCATTGATCATGATCAATTCCATGTTTGACACAATTCTTCCAGGTATCTTATATGAAGTTTATTTTGGAATATAATTTACACTGTTCATTCTTCTATATGTGTGTTCCACACATTATAATTTTTCCAGGAAGATAGTTGGACCCAATGTAGGACCAAGCCCTCGTAAGTAGTCTTCTATAACTGAATTCTAAATTAGCAAACATATTTTGGGAGAGTTTTCCCTTGACATTTCCGGTCATCTCTCTTAGAAGTGATTTATCTTCCCTGGGCATTTCTTCACAACAGACTGACCAACTCCTCCATTGATGACTTCAGAGTTATCCTCTGAATGATCACTGGAAAGGTTTGAATAAAAAAGGCCCTTCGCCCATTTGATCTCATCCTTCTAGAATACCCACTTTACTGTCCTCCTATCACAGCATCATGCTGTTTTTAAATGAGTTCAACATCCTGGCCTCAACAAATCATCCCAGTAACCTGTTAAATTATCCTCTATGTAAAAAAATACTTTGTGCATGTTTTACAACAATGGACCTATGCTCTCCTTTTCTGCTTTCTTGGCGTATCTGAAATTATTGTTCCGGGCTTACTTTCTTAACCCCTTTTAAAATCGTATCTCTTCTGAGACATCTCTTTTGAGAGCTGAAGAGCCCTAGTCTATCTAATCATTCAAGCTTTCAAGATGAAAATTTGTGGCTCATGCGTGGCTTACCATTACTTCCCACAAAAAGGTCACATCTAAACTATGTTGCATGCTTAATAAATTGATTTTCTAGTGAAGTGAATGGAATGTGTACAACACATTTTGTGAGGCTTTGTCCTTTCAAGATTACACAACTATGCAAAACATGTGACATTCCTTACTTATCTGCGTAGTGTTCCTGTGTACTGGAATGTTTGTGGGGTTCCTGTGAATCCCAGCGTTGGCAGGTTTTACCAGATGCAGTGTAGGACACAATCCCTCGGTACGTATCACCATTGTCTCCAGTGTAACACCACATCTCTGTTATAACAACAGGGAGATTCAGAACATTGAAACAGATCATTGAATAGAAATTTGATCATAAGGGTCTGTATTATACACATATTCCTCTCCCTTCACTAGAAAATTAATTTATTAAGCATGCAGTACATAGTACAAAGAAGCAAAGAATGTAGTACCAAAGAACTTGAGTATGTTAAGTGTTGAACCTCAAGATGTGAGGAATAACATTTGTACTCCTGTGGTGTGGTAACAAGCTAAGAAAAGCTTCTGATGGAAGCAACTTTTTATGCAGAAGATCATGTGTTATTTTAATGGTCAGCGGGTGTTTGCTACATGCAAAAATCCAGCACCATGTTTAAGAGTATCGAAACCAGACTTATGGTATCTACACATAGAAATTTCCTGTGTGTGAAATGAAATGCATATTCCCTCCCTGGAGGGACACACCGTGTTTAACTAATCTCAGAGTGTATCAAGGATAGGTTGGCAACAGGCAACTCTTAAGGATGCCAGAGTGTGTGTTGAATATGTCAGTATGTGCTGGAGTTTAACCAGATAAACTTTGCATAACATAGCTTAACTCATGAATTTAGCATGTAAAGTTATAGGGTTAGCAGCAAGAGAGAAACAAAACATGTAGCTCTTTAATATGTACAAAAGACAATGTACCTTGTTGAATCATGTGTGGAATGCTTTCTACAGAAATGAGAAGGATTGTTACTTGCCTGGCTTATAGTCCTCACAGTTTGGAACTGGGCAGTATTCCCATGTCGTGTTTTGATCTGTGGTATAACACCAGGGAGCTTTCTTGCAATCGGGATTTCTGCAGTAGTTATGTATTAGTCCCCTAAAATATTCATCAGAAGGTTGCTTCAGTATTCTTTACTTTAAAGAAAAAATATCAGTGGGGCTAAACTGTGATACTTCTTAATGGAATGATTAAAATTAATAATATTGGAAATCCCAACAAACTACAGGAACTCCTTTCCAGAAATGGATGGTGTCTAAGCAGTATTCCCATGGGTTGGAAGGATTTACTTCTTGCTACCAGAAGGAACCGTTAATTGCATGACTCAGATTACCTAGGAACCTGGAGATCTTGTTCGACTCTCAACTGTTCTTTCTCCACCATATCCGTGCCATGACCCACTCTGCCTTTTTCCGCAACATTGCTCGACTCCACCACTGCCTCACCCCTCAGGCTGCCGAAACCCTCATACACCTATTCGTCACCTCGAGACTTGACTACGGAAACTCCCTCCTTGTCAGCCTCCTTAACTCTTCCCTCTACCAGCTGCAGATCATCCAGAACTCTACAGCTCATGTCCTCTCCAGCACCAGACTCTGTGAACCCATTACCCCCACCCTCGCCCGGCTCCTTTGGCTTCCCATCCCTCAGAGGATAGAATTCAAAATCCTAGTCCTCACTTTTCAAGGCCCTCCATAGCCTTGACCCCCTCCCCCCCACACTGTCCACTCCATCCACTCAGCAGGCTCTGGCCTGCTCCAACTCTCCCGCCTGACCTGCTCTACCATCGATAGACGAGCTTTCAGCCTCTCTGCCCCCACCCTTTGGAACTCAATCCCTTCTCCTTGCTCCCTCTCTTGCCTCCTTCAAGGCCCAACTCAAGACCTTCCTTTTTGACCATGCCTTTAGCCGCCCTCCTACCTCTCTATCCTCCCTCACCCCAACCCTACCCCCACGCTCAGGTCCTGATCCTTGATTGTTCAGCACCTTGGGACGCCCTCCCAATGTGAAAGGCGCTTTACAAATGTAATTTTGCTGTTGTTGTCAGACCTTCTTCAGGAATCCCAAGAGAAAAAAACACATTTTAGATCACTCCATTAGGTTTTCAGCTTCTTGAGCATTGTTTAGTTAAATCCATCCTCTGTAAGGTTACCAAATAATAATAACGTAGTTAAGGGAGAATGGAATCTCGCAAATAAAATTGGTACGTTCACTTCATGGCTGTTTGTGGGACATTTCTGTGCATTAATTGGCTGCTGCATTGACCTTCAAATACATAGTCACTGCTACGCTTCACAGTAAAATCCTGAGAAACACTTTGAGATGTCTCAATGATAAGGCGCTTTAACAAATGCAAGGATGATTATTATTATTTATTATTATAGTGCCTTTCACAATGGGAAGACGTCTAAAAGCTCTTCACAGGATATTCTTCCTATGTAACAATGTGACCGCTTTATCCATGTGAGTGGCCTGCTATCTTTTAAAAATGTACATGGATAAAAGTTTATTATCTGGTAAGGCACAAGAGATGTAAAACATGAAATTACAAAGGTCAAATGTAGTGACTATTTATTTTGTAGGTGAATACAACAGCTAATTTGCGCACAGCAAAGTCCCACAAAAACCCATGACACGAATTACCAATTTTAGCTGAGGGATTGTTGGCCAAAATAACAGAAGGAATTCCCTTCACTTTTCAAATAATGCCATGAGATCTTTAATGTCTACTGAACAGGAAGAAGAAGCATTGGTTTATCGTCTCATCTGAAACGTTAGTCAGTCTTGTCCCGACATAGGTCCATTCAAAGTATATATTTTCTTACTTATCCAGATATTGTCCAGGAGTTCTGGTATGCTCATGCGGTTCTTGCGAATCCCAGCGTTGGCAGGTTTTGCCAGAAACTGTTTTAGACACGGTCCCTTTGTATGCAGCACCACTTCCTGTGAAACACTGGGTCTGCTTTATCCATGTGAGTGGCCTGATATCTTTTAAAAATGTAGATAGATTAAAACGTTTAGTATTTGGCGAGGCATAATGGAGTGTAAAACATGAACTTCACACATTTGTGGATTTGAATGACTAGCTGTGACTAATTGTGCTTGCAAAAATTGGATTATGAAATTCGCAGTGAGATAGCCAAGAGACAAATCGCAAGTCCAAAAGAAGTCGCCAAAAACTTTACAATCTGATATTCACAAAACGGCATTCATAGCTAAAAACTCAAATCTGGTTTTAGTCACCACTCTCCCCACTCCCCCACCTTGTATTTCTTACAAGGCCTTGAGTCCTGTAGCTTAGCGGTTAGAGCTCTAGCCTTGCAAGCGGGTTTGATTCCCAGGCAGGGAGAAACGTTGAGCAAGTTTCCTTACTTCACCCACCTGATAATATTCCCTCAAGAAAATAAAAAGAATAATAAAATTGGTCATGTCAATCCACGACTGTTTGTGGGACACTGCTATGCGCAATTGGCTGCCCGGTTTCAGCCACAAATATACAGTCAATTCACTTTGCTGTATATTTTGTGCAGCGCTTTGAGACGTCTAGAAGATGTGAAAAGAGTTATATCAAATGCAAGGATTATTATTATTGCTTTCCAAGTATCTATCTATCTCCTTTTTAGACATCTTCAATAGTCAGAAGCAATTGAAGATGTCTGAAAAGGAGAAAGGTAGACCTTCAATCCTTCCGTGCATTCCACTTTCTCTAAATCTTCTGTATTTGAAATTTGGAAGAAATGTTTTCTGATCTCACTCGTAACTGTACTTGCTCAATGTTTGCTTTCTCTTTATCTTACCCTTCCTTGTTGACCTCAGTGGTCTTCGTGAAACTGTTTACTCTGAATCTACATACGTCAGTGACAAACTATTAAGCCGGAAACAAAATGGAAGACGTTCCCAATTCAAAACAGAACATACTCAACAACAAGCTATTTATAATACATTAGGGCCTGCAATGTTACCTTGTCTTTGCCTGCAATTTGAATTTTTTTTTACTGCTTTTATTGATCAACCAGGTGTGTGACACATGTGTAAATCCATCACCATACTCAAGAGTATTCAAACTAAACTGAAAATTTCATGCATCCCACTTATACATGGCAATTCCCATGCATTGGAATGGATTGCCCACTCTCTTCCTGGAGGGATGCATCACCCTTATCTAATTCCAGAATGTATAAGGGGCAGGTCGGCAAGAGCCAAGTCTTGGGGATCCCAGAGTGTGTGTTGGGGTACTGCAGGAATCTAATCAGCTAAAACTGCATAGCTTGCCATTGAGAGTACTGCCTGGCAAGCTTCTCCTGTTGCATATCCAGCTAGAGCAATCCTACCAGTTAAGGCTTTATCTTGCAAGATTCTCAGCATGGCAAGAATCCCTGCCCCACTAAACTCCCTGTTTACCTCCCCCTGCCCCAACAATAGTTTGCTAACTAGTTTAGTTTTCAGTTTAGTTCAGTTAATATGGCTTTCACTGCTCACCTATTGTCTGTGAACTCTCACCTTGAGAATGATTTGCCTGACATTTTGGTATCTCACAATATTCCCATTGGGATTCAGGATCAGTGGTGTAACACCAGGGATATTTTTCACAATTCGGGTTCCGGCAGTAATTGTGTTTCAGGTCTCTGAAATAAGTGAATTGTATACAAATCAAGGCATCAGGTGATCTTACTCATCCAGAATACAATCTTCCCATTATAATGTCAAGGCATTTCTTAAATCAGTACTGGCTTCAACCTCCCTTCATGAGAACACATTCCAACTGTTAGTGTAAAGAAATTCTTCCTACAGTCTGTTTTGAAACTGCACTTTGCAACTCTGAATCTGCATCCTCTTTTCCTTGAAAACAATGTTTCAATAAAAAAGGGGAAAATGTTGTGTTTGTTACAGGTAAAGCTCTGCCCCTGCAGTACCTATTCTTACTATCATTAATAACTTTGTGCAGTTTCTTGTTGCTTGTCCAGCGAAGGATGCACATTCCGCTTTACTAAGCCAGTCCGGAACCTTGGCGTCTTGTTTGACCCTCAACTCTCCTTTCTACCCCACATCCGTTCCATGACCCACTCTGCCTTCCCCCACTTCAGCAACATCGCCCTGCTCTGCCACTGTCTTACACTGCAGGCTGTCGAAACTCTCATACACGCATTCATAACATCCAGCCTTGACGATGCAAAGTCCCTGCTTGTCAGCCTCCCCAACTCCTCCCTCCATAGGCTGCAGACCATCCAGAACTCTGCAGCCCATGTCCTCTCCCGCACCAGACTCCGTGACCCTAGCACCCCATCCTCACCCGATTCTACTGGCTTCCCATCACACAGAGGATACATATCATGATTCTGGTCCTCACCTTCAAAACTCTCCATAGCCTTGCTCCCCACTACTTCTGCAACCTCCTAACCCCCTACCAACCTGCCTGCTCCCTCCACCTCACCCCCTCCTTTGCCTCCTTTAAGACCCATCTCAAGACCCACCACTTCAACCATGTCTTTGGTCACTCTCCTCCCCCTGCCCTCCACCCTTACTGAACCCGACCCCCAGCTCAGGTCCGCAATACTGATTGTCCAGTGCCTTGGGACGTCCTTCCGACGTGAAAGGTGCTGTACAAATGTAATTTTGTTGTTGTTGGTGGTGGTGGTGGCACTCTCACCTCTTTGTCAGTGAGTTGTGTGTTCAAGTCCTCAATCAGGACTTTGAGTTCTTAGTCAATGCAATAATAGGGGAGCACTTTTGGATGAGATATTAAATTGAGGTCCCATCTCCCCATCAAGTGGACAAGAAAACTCCATTTGCAAAAGAGAAAATAGATTCTGCCAATGCCATAACCAACAATTTTCTAGATAAAATTAATCATTCACTTCATGAGGTTTATGACATTGCCTCTTACATTTGCCTACAAAATACACAATCACCATACTTTACAATACATCCTGTGAAGTGCTGTGAGACTTGTGTCATGAAAGGCACTTTATCAAATGCAATAACAAATTCAAATATTATTATTATAAATATTATTAATAATTGCTACGGTTTCATAAAAAAACGGTCTAAATAAGCCTGACCAGAGGAAAATATTAGTCCCCTGGTTCTATATGCAATAAGTATGTCCCTTACCCATTCGGATAGTTTTTGGCCGTCTTTGTATGTTTATGAGGTTCCTGAGAATCCCAGCTTTGACATGTTTTACCAGTTTGCGAATTATGCACTGTTCCTCTGTATGCAAAGCCAGTGCCAAAGTAGCAGTTTTCCTCTACTTGATTTCCACACGTTTTGTCTGTTTGAAAATGTAAGAGCATTACAATGCACAGAACATAAAAAGGCATTCGGCCCATCAAGCCTCCTCCCTCTACAGCTAGACAAACCCTCCACCGCCGTTGACTTTTTGGCACCCTGTCTACTGGAGAAAAATACTTCAGAGTCAGTCCTTGAACTTCCAAGGTAAACACACAAAAACTCATGCCAGTAAATCAAACAGATGTTAAAGCTACCTGACCTTAGCTCTCAATGTGTATTCACTTACCCACCACTCAGTGGAAAGAGTATTGGGTAAGTGGAAACATATTTCAAAAGACGTAAGTGGCAATTTCTCACATTGAATATAATCTTCGCATTTTGGAATTGGACAATAATTCCACCTTGTACTGGGATTTGTGGTGTAACACCAGGGTTTGGATGATTGATCAGGATTTCTGCAGTAGTTTTCCTTCAATCCCCTGAAACATTAAAAGAAGATACCATTACATTTCAGCAGGTCTATGATTGTGCAGATATTGCCCCCGACCCACACCCCCAAGAGAGCACAACAAAATAAAGTTTTAATTTTGCAACCTTTAATCCACTGTAATTCAACCTTTCTTTGAATCATGATGCAAATTGCATTAAATTGTACGTATAAAAACTCATGCAACCATCAAACATGGAACTTTTATGTTAGTTGGCCCTAGTGGTCTAAGATCATCGATAGATTCCAAGTTTTGCAGATCAGAAAATCTTCATGTAAGGCCAACTGCTGCCCTGGAATTTACATCAAATTTCTTGAGGACGTGTATATTACCTTTTTTTTGTGTGTCCTGAAAGGGATGAGTGGTTCTCCTTAGCCCAAGTTAGTCAATCCCTCTGCCTTGCCCCTCTGTGACCATCTTCAGAATCTCACCTGAAGACCTTCATCTTCAACCGTGCCTTTAACGTCTCCCCTCTCTCCCCAGCTCGACATCAAACTCCACCACTGTTAAGCCCATTGATAAGCTACTCAACATGAAGGATGCGATACAAATGCAAGTTGTTGTTGTTGTAGTCATAGTCTTGGTCAACAGTCACTTGACGATGGCACAGGTTGGCTTCCAATTTCTCATCCTTCTCAGTAAGGTCATGTCTCTAGTGAGATACTGTACTCAGTACCTCCCCCAATTGCTTGGCCAAGACTAAACTCTCTATCTAAGGTTAGTGTGAGTTTTTGATTCAAACACTCAAACTGAAAAACAAATTCTGAGAATAACATGATTATTATAGTTTACCAGCCACACTTTGCAGCTATGAGCTAAATTGAATTTTCAAAATCTGGTGTCAATGTAGAAAATACTGGAAATACGCAGGCTATTGATTAACATGTAAAGAAGGAGAGGGCAGCAGTTTAAGGTAGATCTCCTTTTGATAATTCTAGTTCTGATGAAGAGCTCACACCAAAAAAAATTAAGATCGTACTTGTGTTTTACAGGTTTACAAATCAAGAAGATACATTTTTTCACCAGCTCATTAACACTCGAAAAACTGTATTTAATCTGGTGCTAGGAAATTTGTCTATTTTTCAATCTACTTCTACTGAATGTAGAAAGCTAAATACCTCTGAAAAGCGATAAAACCCAGTTAATTGAACTCCAGGCTTATTAAACCATTGGCCTCCACACTTATAAAGAGCGAACTGAATATTAACCTGTTTTTCTCTTCAGTAACTGCTTCTTGATCTACAGTACTGTTCATTCTCATCGTAGGAACATCGGAACAGGAGTAGGCCATTCAGCCCCTTGAGCCTGTTCCGCCATTCTATTAGATTATGGCTGATCTATACCTCAACTCCAATTACCCGCCTTTGCCCCATATCTTTCATATCCTAACCTAAGAATATTAATTCAGGATTCAGCATCTATGGGGCCTTTTGGGGGAGAGAGTTCCAGATTTCCACTATCCTTTGCATGAATAATGCTTCCTGATTTCACTCCTAAATGGCCTAGCTCCAATTTTAAGATTATGAATCATAGATATAAAAGCTATCACTTACTTGTCAGGGTACTGTGCCACTGTTCTTGCGTGCTTGTGCGGTGTCTGTGAATCCCAACGTTGGCAGGTTTTACCAAATTCGGTTTCAGACATTTTTCCTCGGTAGGTAGCACCGTTTCCACTGTAACACTTTTCATCTGTGACAATATTTTGTGCTTTGGAAGCAATGACAAGATGTGAAAGATAAACTAATCTATTTAGGAGCAGTGAATTCAAGAGGACGAGGTGCTTTCTTTACTTACTTTCCTGTATGCAATTGGCTGCTGCGTTTCGCTCACAAAATATACAGTCAATTCACTTTACAGTAAATTCTGTGAAGCGCTTTGAGATGTCTCGAAGTCATGATAATATTAATAATAATAATAATCCTTGTATTTGATATAGCGCTTTTCACGTCGGGAGGACGTCCCAAAGCACTTCACAGAATACACTGTAAAGTGAATTGACTGTATATTTGTGGGCGAACGCGGCAGCCAATTGCGCACAGCAATGTCCCACAAACAGTCGTAGATTGAAAATGACCAATTTATTATTGTTTTTGGTTTTGGAGGGGTTATTATTAGGCGTGTGGAGTAAGGAAACTTGCCCAAGGTTTCGCCCTGCCTGGAATTGAACTCAGGTATCTTGCTTGCAAAGAGAGTGCTCTAACCACTGAGCTACAGGACTCCAAAGGCGCTATATCAAATGCAAAGATTATTATTATTATTTCTCTGGCCACAGATATTGTTTCACGGATGATGTGTTTCAACTGATATTGATTAAGCCCTAAAAAGGCTGTAGTTTGAATAGTTGATTGATAGGAAGCCGAAGTGGAGTTGTTTAGGAATGGAGCTGTCAAAGGAAAAAACAAAATGCTTCCCCACAGTGGGATCTGGATATCTATCAAGGCTGTTTCTGATATGCAGGAATTGCAGAAAACCGAGAGGTACAGACATATCGGTAAATACGACTGATATGTGCAATTTCTAACAGGATCCCTTAACAATTAACATGACCCTGATCCATGGAAAATTTTGCTCTGACATAATGTACTTCTGGAGTAGAGTTCCTATTGGATTGATTGGAATGCCTGGGAAATTGCCTTTTAGACTCCAAAGTCATTTGATCCTCCGATTTGTGTATCCATTCGTTCCTTTTGCAGATGAGAGGGATTAAGGGCTGTGGGTATAAGGCGGCCAGATGGAGTTAGGTTAGAAGATCAGCCATGATCTTATTGAATGGCCGGGCAGACTCGAGGGGCCGAATGGCCTACTCCTGCTCCTAATTCCTATGTTTCCTATGGGGTATGTAAGAGCTGCAGTTACATTTTTCATCTCTTGTAATTGAATCGTGCTTGCAGCACTCCGAGGGCACTTTATAAATGCAAGTTATTTTGTTGTGGAGCTTTTTAAAAAATAAATAGTTGGTTCAAAGAATGAGACGATGAGCTCCAGATGGAAAACAAAACTGTTATTTTTGACATTGAACTAAGAAATGAGGACCTTGTTTAGGAAATGGCACTGCTTTCAATATAAGTGTCCAAGCAAAAGGTGTATTGTAGGCAAACGTGACAGCTTAATTGCACACAGCAATGTCACACAAACAGCCACGAGGTGAGTGACCAATTTTAATTGGGGGATTGTTATAATAATAATAATAATAATAATAATAATAATAATAATAATAATAATCCTTGCATTTGATATAGCGCTTTTCACGTCGGGAGGACGTCCCAAAGTGCTTCACAGATCACACTGTAAAGTGAATTGACTGTATATTTGTGGGCGAACGCGGCAGCCAATTGCGCACAGCAATGTCCCACAAACAGTCGTAGATTGAAAATGACCAATTTATTATTGCCTTTGGTTTTTTGGAGGGATTATTATTAGGCGTGGGGAGTAAGGAAACTTGCCCAAGGTTTCGCCCTCTACCTGGAATTGAACTCAGGTCTCTCGCTTGCAAAGCGAGTGCTCTAACCACTGAGCTACAGGACTCTTGATGTTAGCCTGGACATCAAGAGAAACGCCCTTTCGTTTTCAAACAGTGCCATGAAAATTTTAACGTCCACCTGAACAGGAAGACGGCAAGTCTATGTAACAACACAACAACTTAATAAATATATATGCACACCCAATGTGGAGCTTGAATCCACAAACTTCTGAATCAGAGGCGAGAGTAGATACAGCTGTAGATTAAGATTGCATAGGTGCACATAAAATCATGGATTTTACTTACCTGAATTTAAAAATTCCAGCCACAGGATAATTCCTATTTGCAAGAGCATTTTAAACTTGACTTGTGAGCTCCAGCTCAGCGGGATGTGTGGTCATATATATTTACTAAATTGTGTTGTTACGTAGACTTGCCAATAATTGAAGGTCACAGAACTGCAAACCACACAGCAAATAAATTATTAAAATAGATACAAACTAAACAGTTTCACAAAGACCACTGAGGTCAACAAGGAAGGGTAAGATTAAGAGAAAGCAAACATTGAACAAGTACAGTTACAAGTGAGATCAGAAATTATTTCTTCCAAATTTCAAATACCGAAGGTTTAGAGAAAGTGGAATGCACTGCACAGAAGGATTGAACGTCTACCTTTCTCCTTTTCAGACATCTTCAATTGCTTCTGACTGTTGAAGATGTCTAAAAAGGAGGGAGGGAGGGAGGGAGGGAGGGAGGAAGGTACCACTCATCAAACATCCTATCCCTCTGGTCCTCCACCCGCGGAGATCCTGAAACAGCCGTCCAGCTGCTCCATGATCGCCTCCCCTCCACCTTCAACTCCCTCGTGCCCCTGAAATTTAGGACCATCTCCAAACCCACCCGATCCCCCTGGTACAACAATAATCTCCGTCGCCAAAAAACCAAGCCCGTCTGCTCGAGCGCAGATGGCAGAAAACTGGCCTGACAGTTCACCGCCAACTGTTGCTCGAGCATCTCCACAGCTTCCGCCGTTCTTTGACTAGTACAAAAACGGCCTTCTACTCCAACATCATCTTGGAGATTAAGCACAACCCAAAAATCCTTTTTTCCACCAACCACTACCTCCTCCGTGCCCCCACTCAGGCTTCCTCAATCTTCATATCAAATGCCAGGTGCGAGGAGGTCATGGACTTCTTTTCTTCTAAAATACTTAACATCCGTGAGGCAGCCTCATCCACCTGTCCCTTGTCACCCACCGCCTCGCCCTCTCTGTCCCCCTCACCTTCCTCATCATCTGCTCCTATCACCACCCCCATTCTACATTCCTTCCTCCCCATCTCTCCCTCCTCCCTCTCACCCACCATCACCTCCATGAAACCCACCACCTGCTGCCTCGACCCCCTCCCCACCAACTTACTGGTCACCCAGCTCCCCCTCCTCTTCCCACTACTGGCTGATGTCATCAACCAATCCCTCTCCTCCGGATCAGTCCCTGCCCCCCTCAAAACTGCTGTCATCATCCTCTCCTGAAAAACCCTCCCTTGATCCCTCAAACCCCGGCATCTACCGCCCCATTACTAACCTGCTCTTCCTCTCAAAAGTTCTAGAACGCGTTGTTGCCAACCAACTCCTCACACACCTCTCCTCCCACTCCCTCTTTGAACCCCTCCAGTCCGGTTTCCGCCCACAGTACAGAGACTGCGCTTGTCAAAGTCACAAACGACATCCTCTCTATCTGTGACCAGGGCTCCCTCTGCCTCCTTGTCCTCCTGGACCTCTCCGCCGCGCTTGACACAGTCGATCACGCCGTCCTCCTCCACCGCCTTTCCTCCGTCATCCACCTCAGTGGGACCGCACTCGCCTGGTTTGAGTCCTACCTCACAAACCGTCAGCAGTACATCGGACGGCTTCTCACAAACGGCTTCTGCTCCTGCTCTCACCCGGTTACCTGCGGGGTACCCCAAGGATCTATCCTTGGCCCCCTCCTCTTTCTGATCTACATGTTCCTACTGTTCCTCTGTATGCAAAGCCAGTGCCAAAGTAGCAGTTTTCCTCTACTTGATTTCCACACGTCTTGTCTGTTTGAAAATGTAAGAGCATTACAATGCACAGAACATAAAAAGGCATTCGGCCCATCAAGCCTCCTCCCTCTACAGCTAGACAAACCCTCCACCGCCGTTGACTTTTTGGCACCCTGTCTACTGGAGAAAAATACTTCAGAGTCAGTCCTTGAACTTCCAAGGTAAACACACAAAAACTCATGCCAGTAAATCAAACAGATGTTAAAGCTACCTGACCTTAGCTCTCAATGTGTATTCACTTACCCACCACTCAGTGGAAAGAGTATTGGGTAAGTGGAAACATATTTCAAAAGACGTAAGTGGCAATTTCTCACATTGAATATAATCTTCGCATTTTGGAATTGGACAATAATTCCACCTTGTACTGGGATTTGTGGTGTAACACCAGGGTTTGGATGATTGATCAGGATTTCTGCAGTAGTTTTCCTTCAATCCCCTGAAACATTAAAAGAAGATACCATTACATTTCAGCAGGTCTATGATTGTGCAGATATTGCCCCCGACCCACACCCCCAAGAGAGCACAACAAAATAAAGTTTTAATTTTGCAACCTTTAATCCACTGTAATTCAACCTTTCTTTGAATCATGATGCAAATTGCATTAAATTGTACGTATAAAAACTCATGCAACCATCAAACATGGAACTTTTATGTTAGTTGGCCCTAGTGGTCTAAGATCATCGATAGATTCCAAGTTTTGCAGATCAGAAAATCTTCATGTAAGGCCAACTGCTGCCCTGGAATTTACATCAAATTTCTTGAGGACGTGTATATTACCTTTTTTTTGTGTGTCCTGAAAGGGATGAGTGGTTCTCCTTAGCCCAAGTTAGTCAATCCCTCTGCCTTGCCCCTCTGTGACCATCTTCAGAATCTCACCTGAAGACCTTCATCTTCAACCGTGCCTTTAACGTCTCCCCTCTCTCCCCAGCTCGACATCAAACGCCACCACTGTTAAGCCCATTGATAAGCTACTCAACATGAAGGATGCGATACAAATGCAAGTTGTTGTTGTTGTAGTCATAGTCTTGGTCAACAGTCACTTGACGATGGCACAGGTTGGCTTCCAATTTCTCATCCTTCTCAGTAAGGTCATGTCTCTAGTGAGATACTGTACTCAGTACCTCCCCCAATTGCTTGGCCAAGACTAAACTCTCTATCTAAGGTTAGTGTGAGTTTTTGATTCAAACACTCAAACTGAAAAACAAATTCTGAGAATAACATGATTATTATAGTTTACCAGCCACACTTTGCAGCTATGAGCTAAATTGAATTTTCAAAATCTGGTGTCAATGTAGAAAATACTGGAAATACGCAGGCTATTGATTAACATGTAAAGAAGGAGAGGGCAGCAGTTTAAGGTAGATCTCCTTTTGATAATTCTAGTTCTGATGAAGAGCTCACACCAAAAAAAATTAAGATCGTACTTGTGTTTTACAGGTTTACAAATCAAGAAGATACATTTTTTCACCAGCTCATTAACACTCGAAAAACTGTATTTAATCTGGTGCTAGGAAATTTGTCTATTTTTCAATCTACTTCTACTGAATGTAGAAAGCTAAATACCTCTGAAAAGCGATAAAACCCAGTTAATTGAACTCCAGGCTTATTAAACCATTGGCCTCCACACTTATAAAGAGCGAACTGAATATTAACCTGTTTTTCTCTTCAGTAACTGCTTCTTGATCTACAGTACTGTTCATTCTCATCGTAGGAACATCGGAACAGGAGTAGGCCATTCAGCCCCTTGAGCCTGTTCCGCCATTCTATTAGATTATGGCTGATCTATACCTCAACTCCAATTACCCGCCTTTGCCCCATATCTTTCATATCCTAACCTAAGAATATTAATTCAGGATTCAGCATCTATGGGGCCTTTTGGGGGAGAGAGTTCCAGATTTCCACTATCCTTTGCATGAATAATGCTTCCTGATTTCACTCCTAAATGGCCTAGCTCCAATTTTAAGATTATGAATCATAGATATAAAAGCTATCACTTACTTGTCAGGGTACTGTGCCACTGTTCTTGCGTGCTTGTGCGGTGTCTGTGAATCCCAACGTTGGCAGGTTTTACCAAATTCGGTTTCAGACATTTTTCCTCGGTAGGTAGCACCGTTTCCACTGTAACACTTTTCATCTGTGACAATATTTTGTGCTTTGGAAGCAATGACAAGATGTGAAAGATAAACTAATCTATTTAGGAGCAGTGAATTCAAGAGGACGAGGTGCTTTCTTTACTTACTTTCCTGTATGCAATTGGCTGCTGCGTTTCGCTCACAAAATATACAGTCAATTCACTTTACAGTAAATTCTGTGAAGCGCTTTGAGATGTCTCGAAGTCATGATAATATTAATAATAATAATAATCCTTGTATTTGATATAGCGCTTTTCACGTCGGGAGGACGTCCCAAAGCACTTCACAGAATACACTGTAAAGTGAATTGACTGTATATTTGTGGGCGAACGCGGCAGCCAATTGCGCACAGCAATGTCCCACAAACAGTCGTAGATTGAAAATGACCAATTTATTATTGTCTTTGGTTTTTTGGAGGGATTATTATTAGGCGTGGGGAGTAAGGAAACTTGCCCAAGGTTTCGCCCTCTACCTGGAATTGAACTCAGGTCTCTCGCTTGCAAAGCGAGTGCTCTAACCACTGAGCTACAGGACTCTTGATGTTAGCCTGGACATCAAGAGAAACGCCCTTTCGTTTTCAAACAGTGCCATGAAAATTTTAACGTCCACCTGAACAGGAAGACGGCAAGTCTATGTAACAACACAACAACTTAATAAATATATATGCACACCCAATGTGGAGCTTGAATCCACAAACTTCTGAATCAGAGGCGAGAGTAGATACAGCTGTAGATTAAGTTTGCATAGGTGCACATAAAATCATGGATTTTACTTACCTGAATTTAAAAATTCCAGCCACAGGATAATTCCTATTTGCAAGAGCATTTTAAACTTGACTTGTGAGCTCCAGCTCAGCGGGATGTGTGGTCATATATATTTACTAAATTGTGTTGTTACGTAGACTTGCCAATAATTGAAGGTCACAGAACTGCAAACCACACAGCAAATAAATTATTAAAATAGATACAAACTAAACAGTTTCACAAAGACCACTGAGGTCAACAAGGAAGGGTAAGATTAAGAGAAAGCAAACATTGAACAAGTACAGTTACAAGTGAGATCAGAAATTATTTCTTCCAAATTTCAAATACCGAAGGTTTAGAGAAAGTGGAATGCACTGCACAGAAGGATTGAACGTCTACCTTTCTCCTTTTCAGACATCTTCAATTGCTTCTGACTGTTGAAGATGTCTAAAAAGGAGGGAGGAGGGAGGGAGGGAGGAGGGAGGAAGGTACCACTCATCAAACATCCTATCCCTCTGGTCCTCCACCCGCGGAGATCCTGAAACAGCCGTCCAGCTGCTCCATGATCGCCTCCCCTCCACCTTCAACTCCCTCGTGCCCCTGAAATTTAGGACCATCTCCAAACCCACCCGATCCCCCTGGTACAACAATAATCTCCGTCGCCAAAAAACCAAGCCCGTCTGCTCGAGCGCAGATGGCAGAAAACTGGCCTGACAGTTCACCGCCAACTGTTGCTCGAGCATCTCCACAGCTTCCGCCGTTCTTTGACTAGTACAAAAACGGCCTTCTACTCCAACATCATCTTGGAGATTAAGCACAACCCAAAAATCCTTTTTNCCACCAACCACTACCTCCTCCGTGCCCCCACTCAGGCTTCCTCAATCTTCATATCAAAGGCCAGGTGCGAGGAGGTCATGGACTTCTTTTCTTCTAAAATACTTAACATCCGTGAGGCAGCCTCATCCACCTGTCCCTTGTCACCCACCGCCTCGCCCTCTCTGTCCCCCTCACCTTCCTCATCATCTGCTCCTATCACCACCCCCATTCTACATTCCTTCCTCCCCATCTCTCCCTCCTCCCTCTCACCCACCATCACCTCCATGAAACCCACCACCTGCTGCCTCGACCCCCTCCCCACCAACTTACTGGTCACCCAGCTCCCCCTCCTCTTCCCACTACTGGCTGATGTCATCAACCAATCCCTCTCCTCCGGATCAGTCCCTGCCCCCCTCAAAACTGCTGTCATCATCCTCTCCTGAAAAACCCTCCCTTGATCCCTCAAACCCCGGCATCTACCGCCCCATTACTAACCTGCTCTTCCTCTCAAAAGTTCTAGAACGCGTTGTTGCCAACCAACTCCTCACACGCCTCTCCTCCCACTCCCTCTTTGAACCCCTCCAGTCCGGTTTCCGCCCACAGTACAGAGACTGCGCTTGTCAAAGTCACAAACGACATCCTCTCTATCTGTGACCAGGGCTCCCTCTGCCTCCTTGTCCTCCTGGACCTCTCCGCCGCGCTCGACACAGTTGATCACGCCGTCCTCCTCCACCGCCTTTCCTCCGTCATCCACCTCAGTGAGACCGCACTCGCCTGGTTTGAGTCCTACCTCACAAACCGTGACTTGGCTTCTCACAAACGGCTTCTGCTCCTGCTCTCACCTGGTTACCTGCGGGGTACCCCAAGGATCTATCCTTGGCCCCCTCCTCTTTCTGATCTACATGCTCCCTCTTGGGGATGTCATCCATAGACATGGGGTACATTGTGGAGTCCTGTAGCTCAGTGGGTAGACCACTCGCTTTGCAAGTGAGAGACCTGTGTTCAATCCCAGGCAGAGCGAAACCTTGGGCAAGTTTCCTTACTCCATACGTCTAATAATAATCCCTCCAAAAACCAAAAATAATAATAAATTGGTCATTTTCAACCTACGACTGTTTGTGGGACATCGCTGTGCGCAATTGGCTGCCGCGTTCGCCCACAAATATACAGTCAATTCACTTTATAGTCTATTCTGTGAAGCGCTTTGGGACGTTCTCCCGACGTGATAAGCGCTATATCAAATGCAAGGATTATTATTTCCATATGTATGCAGATGATACCCTACTCTATTTTTCCACCTCTCCTTGCGACCCCCAGTCCCCTGATGTTTTGTCAGCCTGCCTGTCAGATCTCAGGGGCTGGATGAGCACGAACTTTCTTCAGCTGAACGTTGACAAGACGGAAGCCATACTCTTTGGCTCTCGTCAACGTCTAAAATCTCACAGCTCTCAGCTCCTCCAACTACCCGACCTGCCCCTACAACTCTCCAAACCCGTACGCAACCTGAGCGTCAGGTTCGACCCCCAATTATCCTTCCACCCCCACATCCGATCCCTCACCAGCACCGCTTTCTACCACTTCCGACGCATCGCCCGTCTCCGCCAATACCTCTCCCCAAAAGTCGCCAAAACCCTGGTCCATGCCTTTGTCACCTCTCGGCTGGACATCTCCAACGCCCTCCTCACTGGTCTCCCATGCACTACCATCCATAAAATCCAAATCATTGAAAACTCTGCCACCCGCATTCTCACCCACACAAAACCCCGCTCCCTGATCACCCCACACCTTACCAGACTGCACTGACTGCCTATCCCAGAGAGGATCGATTTCAAGATCCTCACCCTCATATTCAAGTCCCTGCACTCATATGCGCCTCCCTACCTCTCTGACCTCCTCTCTCCTCAAAACAGTACCCATTGCCTTCGTTCCTCCGGGTCTGGCCTCCTCCTCGTCCCCCGAGTCCTCCGCTACACCCTCGGCGGCCGTGCCTTCAGCTACTATGCCCCGAGGCTCTGGAACTACCTTCCTCACTCCCTTCGTCTCGCTTCCTCCCTTCAGATTTTCAGGTCTCTGCTGAAGACCTTTCTTTTCGACCGCGCCTTTGGTCACGTTCCTCCCCCTACCCCTGGCTCGGTCCAGGGATCCATTACTGTAAAGCGCACTGAGACGCCATCCAGCGTGGAGGGCACAATATAAATCCACGTTATTGTAGGTAGATAGGCATGTAGGTAGGTATGGATAGTAATAATAATAATCCATGCATTTGACATAGCGCTTTCCACGTTTTCTAGACATCTCAAAGCGCTGTTCACAGCACAAAACATACTGTAACGTGAATTGACTGGATAGTTGTGGGTGAAATCCAGCAGCTAATTACGCACAGCAGTGTCCCACAAACAGTCGTGGATTGATGTGACCAATTTATCATTCTTTTCATTTTCTTGAGGGATTATTATCAGGCGTGTGGAGCAAGGAAACTTGCCCAAGGTTTCACCCTGCCAGGAATGGAGCCCAGGTCATTCGCTTGCAAGGCGAGAAGTGCTCTGAGACGCTATTCGGTCTGGAGGGCGCTATATAAATCCAAGTTGTTGTGATTGAGTCCTCTAACCACTAAGCTACAGGACTCCTGTAAGACTATTAATAGGTATGGGGAAAAGTCAGGAAAAGGGTTTGAAAAGATCTGTCATAAACTAATAAACTAGTAGTGTCGGCTCAACAATCCATCAGATAAAATTGGTCATTCACTTTATGGCTATTTGTGGAACATTGCTGTACAAAATTTGGCTGCTGCAGAGCAAACAAAATATAGTCACGGCACTTTACAGTACATTCGTGAAGCGCTTCGAGTCATCTTTCTGACTTGAAAGGTGCAATAGCAAGTTTTTTTATTGTTATTGTTTGACTATTATTTAGTGCTACTCTTCAGAGTTAGCCACAGGTAGGAAGGATTTGTGATACAGGAACTCCTCTCATCTCAACCTTCATGGTTCTGACTTGACTGGTTCAGATCATTCCTCTCACACCGTCTCCACTTCATCACTACAAATGGTTTCTCCTCTAATCCCCACACCGTCTCGTGTGGCATTCCTCAGGGCTCTGTCCTTGGTCCCTACCTTTTCAATACCTATATGCTGCCTCTCGCTGATATCATCTGCAGACATGGGGTCAACTTCCATTCTTTGCGGATGACACCCAACGGTACCTCTCTGCCTCCACCCTGGTCTCCAGGACCACTGCTGTCCTGACAGAATGTCTGCCAGACATCAAGTCCTGGATGAAAGCTAACTTTCTGCAGCTGAAAGTCAACAAGGCCGAGGCCCTCCTGTTTGGCTCCCGTCACCGCCTCCACACCTCAGGCACTGACAGCATCACCATCCAAAGATGCACATTCCACCTCACTGAGCCAGTCCGGAACTTTGGCATCTTCATTGATCCACAACTATCCCTTCTACTCTACATTTGTGCCATGTCCCGCTCCGCCTTCCCCACATCCACAACATCCCCCTGCTCTGCCACTGTCTCACACCACAGGCTGCCGAAACCCTCATACATGCATTCATGACATCCAGGCTCGACTGAGCAAACTCCCTGCTTGTCGGCCTCCCCAACTCCTCCCTCCGGAGGCTACAGATCATCCAGAACTCTGCAGCCCATGTCCTCTACCTCACCAGGCTCCGTGACACTATCACCCCCATCCGCGCCCGACTCCACTGGCTTCCCATCACACAGAGGATACAGTTCAAGATCTTGGACCTCACTTTCAAGGCCCTCCATGGCCTTGCTCCCCCTACCTCTGTGACCTCCTAAGCCCCTACCAACCCGCCCGCTCCCGCCACTCAGTGGGTTCCGGCCTGCTTCATGTCCCCTTCTGCCACTCTGACCCACCATCTGGAACTCCATCCTGCAATCCCTCTGCCTCGCCCCTCCCTTGCCTCATTCATGACCCATCTCAAGAGCCTCCTCATCAACTGTGCCTTCCATCACCCTGCTTCCACACTTGCCTTCCACCCTCCCCAATCCCGACCCCTGTTCAGGTCCGAAACACTGATTGTCCAGCACCTTGGGGTACCTCCCAACGTGAAAGGTGCTATCCAAAAGTAATTGTGTTGTTGATGTTGTTGTCCTATTCATTCTTCTCTAAAGTTTATATGTTGTGTACCACTGTGCAATTTAGTCCTGATAAGATCTTGATGACTCGGAAAAATGACTATCCATTGCAATGACTATAGATTTATGGCTTGAGCAAGTGTAGATTATTTGACCATGGCTTTTTTATTAATCTTGTGCAAAACTATTTTCAAGAAAGAGTGATCCATTAATGGCAGAATGGTAAGTGCTTTGTCTCGTGTGCAACTTAATCATATAGAACAGGAAGGTACCCAGACGTCCCAAAGTGCTTCACAGGATATATTGTGTGTCAGTCTGACTCAGTTTGTAGCTTCTGAGTCAGAAGATTGTGGATTCAAGCCCCTTGGACTTGGACTTGGACTCATGTAGTCTAAGCTGAGACTCCAACGCCTTGTTGGGGTTGTGCTGCATTGTTGAGGATGCTGTCCTTCAGATGAGATGTTAAACCGAGGACCCATCAAGTTTTGGTGAACGTTATGCTGCAGGGGCAGAGG